TACTTACAACAATACCCTTAATTTTGGGGTAATTTGAAATATCATTATAAACATGGACTAAAACATAATTACTACAATTTCAATGGTCATAACCATAAGAAATACGGTGTAAACAACTGATTGCAAAAGGAGGAGAAATCAAAAATATTGGACATACTAAATCAAGCAAAATCGAAATTATAAGACGAAATCCTATAACTGATTGCAAAAAGAGACAAAATCGAAAATCTTGCACGCACCAAATCAAGCAAAATTGAAATCACAAGAGGAAATCTTGCACATATCAAGCCCAAACGAAGGTCAATAATTGCTTCAACTATCTTTTATTCAAAATTTTCTTTCTCAAATCTGTAAATAATCAACCCAAATCTACATGTTTACATATTTCTAGCTTGTAATTCAATTAATTCATATTTTGTTTGATTATTGAGTAATATATTTCATGACATTCAATAAAAATAAAGCAATTATAGGCTAATTTTTAAGGATATCTACTGATTTTAATGTCTTATTTAACCGTGGGTATTATTAACACAATTTTCACCTTGATTTTGATGTTGTCAATGTTTTTTTTGTTCTAATGCATATGAAATTTTATCTTTAAATTAATGGTTTTGAGTTAGTATATATTAAAATTCGGATTTGTATAAATCGAATTGAGTTAGCGTATGTAAAAATTCAACTTTGGAATTTGAATCTCGCTTTAAATTGAAAAGTGAGATAATATAACATTTTATTTGTCTTTTGCATATAAATTAACGTGGTAGAATTTAAAAGTGATGTACTTATCACTTTTTTCAAAAAAAAAAAAAAAATTATTTCATTTGTATTTTTTTTTTTTTTTGCATATATGGATAAAATTAATGTTGTTATTCGTTATGGAGGCGAATAGGAACATGCTAATGATGTTAAAGTGATCAAATGACCGAAATTATTGTTTCAATAGAATGCACATACAACCACCTTTATTGAAACATGTCACTTTTTCCAAAAGTTAAGTTTTAACACTATTAAAAGAGAATGAGTTGTCATTGACATTTATATGCAATTTCATCGATTAAACGAAAAGTGACAAAAAAAGTGACAAAACCAATTTGTCGACTTTTTTGGGCTTTCGGGATTTTGGGCGTAATTAATTTGGGAGTTATAGTTCTAATTAATTTTAAATGCATTAATATTTATTTTTTAGGGTAGTGAGCCTAATTTTATCTTGAATTAAACTTCAAAAAAGGGGGGAAAATGGGCTCTAATTAGGTAGGTTTCAAATAATTTTAAAAAAAAAAAATAGAAATTTTTAAATACAAACACATAATTTTGTGATTTTTTTTTTTTTTTGAAAAGGAAACAAATGAGATATTTGATTAGATTTCTAGATATTTTTATGGATATTTCTTTTATGCGGTCATAATAATCAGTTTCTATCTAATAATCAGTTACTTTACGTAGTGTTAACATAATTTGCTCTAATTTTGGTTATATATTTTTTCTGTCATCTGTTCCAAAATTTAAAAAAAAAAAAAAAAGGTGTAGAAACTTTTATATTATTAGAGAATTAGAACAAAATTATCACAGGCTACAATGAATTTAGGACCAACATATAATAAAGGTTATAGGATTACTGACGTAACGGAAGCTTATACGAAAAAATAAAATATCATGAAAAATTAAAACTTGTTGATTCGTTCAAAAATGTTGAGAAAATGACAGTATTTGATAGAAATACTTCTCTCAATTTTTTTTTTTTCAAATTGGAAAACATTTTCAATGAAAAAATAGAAATCAAACACTTCAGAATTAGATTTTGGGTGGGAAATTGACATTTTTTATAAAAAAATAAATGAAATCAAACACGCACTAAATGAATCAAAGCCTTAACAAAATTATCCAGATAAATGAAAATCGCGTTTCTGAAACCCTAAATTTTGAAATTCTGTAAATTGGACCGTTTTCATTCAAAATAGACACAAAATTCCTCGAAAACAAACATTCCGAAAGACCACTACTTGTGATTTTGATCCCACTTTTCCATGAAATGTTCTTCTTTCGGTATTGTATTAATTACTGTATGTCTAATTATACAAAAAAGACATTTTAGGGGATGAAAAGTTATTGGTCGTGCATTAATTTCTACAACGTGAGTTTTAATACACAACAACTCGACATTGAATCATTTCACATCACTGCATCTAACATGGGTAAGTAGTCTCGGTCTCATCGATGATCACTATAGTTATAATTCTTAACGTGAATTTATTGCCTAAAAAAGCAGGTCACATTCTTAAATTTGATGTTGAATACTAACCACTTTTAGTTAATTGCATGATATGAGACCAAAGAAAAAAACTAGGTTTGAATACAATTTAAAAATTCCATCAAAGTTAAAAAAAATTAATTTCAATCGAATATTTTTAACTACTTTTCACTATTATTTCTCATACTATTCCTATTTATGAATTATTTATAAATTTACGATACGAAGGTAAAATTCGTTGACAAATTTATAAATCAATTTTTAAAGAGGAATATTAGTGAGTACCACAAAGTGCGTAGATAATAAATGTATAATAGTTATAAACGCGTGGTAAAAATTACTGTTTGATTTTAACAAAATTTATAAATCATTTAAATCAATATCAAACGAAGGCTAAATATTGCCGATACAAATTTGAACCGTTCGAATATTTAACGCATAATTTAAAATGAAATTAACTAAATCGATTTTGAATGTAAGTGCCAATATAAGTCTTGGTGAGAATGATTAATTTTAAGCATGAACTCTCTCAAAAGGCAGTAGCATGTATGGTTTAGCTTATAAGTAAGTCAACAATTGTTACTTGTAAGTTGAAAATTTTGATGTTTATCCTCAAACTTATTTACTTATAAGTGAATTCTTTAAACTAAAGGCAAACATCCAGTAGCTATATCAACTGATATTTTCATTATCTAAGCTATGATCGTACTTTAAATTACCCGATTTAATTAATTTTGCATAACAAACTAGTCGGCTGGGCAGTTGGCTGGCGAAGGGGAGAAGGCTTGTCAAACTTCAAAGTTTAATGGTTGCCAACTGGACTTATAATTAGATATTTGGTAAAAGTACATAGCTCATTAAAATTAATTTTTTAATAAATTTTGATAAAAATTTACGAAACATACAATTGGTAAATTTCATAAAATGTAGATTAAAATTAATTATTTACTTTGACTTAGATTAAAATTTAAATTTTAATCCCTACCAAATAGAAATATAATAACATTGGTAAATAAATAATATTTTTAATTGGTTCCGACTTGAAATCATTGTAACATATTAATAATTCGACAAATTTAAAAGATAATACATTTAAAGAACACATAGGTCCCACTAGGCATTTGTAAGAGTGATGCTACAGGTACATCAGAGACTACATAAATGTGTTCATAATGGACACCCGGCACCTCCTCATTGGAGGGATGGTTGGTGGAATCGGCACTCCATCCAATGAGAGGGCGTCGAGTATCCATTATGGATACCCTTATGTAGCACTTGATGTACAAGAAGAATAACTCCATTTGTAATATATGACTTAGACGTCAACTCTTAACTTTTCTTGGTGCATTAAGAACTCTCAGCTTTCTCGCATGGCAAGAGAAAATTATGCAATACAAATGTAATATTTAAAGTCTCGTTTTTCGTCCTTTAAAATTTTAAATTGTTTGCTACAGTACCATTCTCCACCACACATTCACACAATAAAATATTCTATACACAAACCAATAAAGTTTCCTTACTTTTTAACCGCATATTCTCAATCAATCTACTATTCTATAATACATTACAAGAATTTAATGGCTCTCAAACATGACCTTAGTTAGTTGCAAATATGGATAGATCCATGACTTCTATTTAATTATCATGGCTCCAGAGATTAATTTTTCGAGTTTACTGTACATTGCATAGGCATATGTTTGTTCAAAAGAAATGCTTTACATAATCATACATGGGCATGGAGGGGCGGGGCGGGGCATCAATATGTGTTGTGCATAGTGACTACCTATAAGAGTGCCTTGCCAATGAATAATGAGTTATTTGTTTAGACTAGTACGGATTTTCACTTCCAATGATTCAATATATTATCAAGAATACGATGACGACATTAAATTCATTGTATTTAGCCCGACAATTGTCAAATTATTTATCTTGCTTAATTGTCTGCTCAAGCTTATACTATCAAATACAAAGTAGTATCAAACGTTTCCCTTCCTCAATAATGATATAGAGTAGCATAGTCTCGTGAATTTCTTGTTACATGGATTCATTTAAGTGAGTAGGATCGCCACCCACAAATAACTTCCAATTATGTAAGTAGTTGATAATATAGTTGAACTTCATTTATATTGTTCACATGACCATTTATTTAACTCATTTCTACCAATCTAAGCTCTCTCTAAGACAGAAAATGAGTACAATTTGTTTCCTAGACCTGAGGAAAATAAAAGTTGAAATAATATTAATTATATGTTTTAGTATCATTCAAACTTACCCGAATTTCACATAGTGAACTAGTGCTCAAGAGACAATTCAGAAGCTTCCCATCGAGCTGTGGAGATTAAAAACCCAATACACCTTCTAATGTAAATCCCATCTGGGATGGTCGTGCATTGCTAGTGGGGGTCGGATTCTAAAAGAAGGAAAAACCACATCGATCTCCATAGCAAATAATCACTCTCCATCTTGGTTAACCAGATTCCTCAACATTCTAACCTGGCAAATAACTGTCAAAAGTAAATACAGTGAACAACCACCACGACTTTTAATTGATGGAGCTCTACTGGTCTTTAGATCTTTTCAACCATATTATCATAGCTCCATTAAATTAAAACACACACACACACACAAACATGCATATACACGTATCTTTATATATACAGCCAACTTGTGGTTTCAAGTGTACTCAAAAGAAACTTGTCTCACCCATAAACTGTAGGCAGGTTGAAATCATTACTTGAAGCCCCTTCCAATGGCTACTCCCCCATCATTTGCCACTCTTTATAGTATCATATTGGGGCTTTTTCTGGCATATAATGTTAAGTGCATTGAAGGTCGAGCCTTTATCGTGTTTGGGGACTCCCTTGTGGACAGTGGCAACAACAACTATTTGGCTACTTCTGCTCGAGCAGACTCCCCACCTTATGGCATTGACTATCCCACACGAAGGCCCACTGGCCGTTTCTCCAATGGCCTCAATATCCCTGATATTATCAGTTGAGTTTCCATAAAAACTTTGAACGTTCTTAATGTATATATGAAACCTGCATGCATGTCTTCATATATAAATTCAGTTTTCGTGGCTCTTCAGTGAGGAGTTGAGCACGTACTCATACCAGTTTAAGATTAACATTGCTGCATGCTTTGATGCTTTCATTTTTTCCAGGTGAGAATATTGGTAGCCAAGAATCACCACTGCCATACTTGAGTCCACAACTCACCGGGCAAAGACTACTTGTTGGCGCCAACTTCGCTTCAGCAGGGGTTGGGATTCTCAACGATACTGGAATTCAATTTGTAAGCTTAACCAAAAACCCTTCTTGCCTTGGTATATATAGCATGTTCCAATCATTGTCTCGGGGTCTGTTTCTGTAAAACCTGTCACGTAAGATATAGACTTTATGCATTTTCGTATGCCACCAGGGCCATATTCAGCCTCATGCTGATACTGATAATGCCTTCAAAAGACCTGTGCATACATAGACAATCAAATATATAGTAGGAGTTCACTTACAACCAATCTCATACGTACAAACAACAAAGCAGATATTTTGCATCTTGTAATTGTAAAGCTATCATTTTATTTCAACGATATACAGTCTAACGAAACAGTTTTTGCAGGTGAACATAATAAGAATAGCTGCACAGTTGGAATACTTTCAACAATATCAGCAGAGAGTAAGGGCATTGATTGGAGCTGATAAAACTAAACAACTGGTAAACCAAGCACTAGTTCTCATCACATTGGGAGGCAATGATTTTGTTAACAACTACTATCTGGTGCCCTATTCTGCAAGGTCTCGCCAATTTGCTCTTCCGGATTATGTAAAATTCCTCATATCCGAATACCAAAAGGTTTTGATGGTAATTACTAACTACCCTACAATACATAATTTTTCAGAAAATTCATAACTGTTCGATAATCTTTTGGATTGGATGAAACGAATATGCTCGCAAATAAGTTTAATGATGGTCTCTTCAGGGTTCCAAGTTCAACAATGGGAACAACACGAGTGTTTCACTCATCCTGGAACATAACCTAATACCTTATGAAAGTTATGCATAACAACTTAGACTTCATTCTAACTTAGCTCACTAAACTTTGTTCAGGTTGGCCTCAAGAGATAAGAGCCCAAAAACGAACAATTTTTCAAATGCATTAAAATTCCAAGTTCAATAATGTCCAATTTGTCAGGTTAATAATTACTAAATACAGCGTAACTTACTAATACACTAATTCAACTACAGTTTTTTAGTCAAAATATCACAGAATGTATATTGGAATTGCCAAATGAGCATCCATCCATCAAGGCACTTTAGCGTGTGGTGCTGCTCCTTTAAATATACAACTGCATCAACATTTGGTGGTTGCATTTATAAGTCAAAAATTTGGATCTTAACTAGCAAGTAAATATCTGTAGAATTTGGTCGCCATATTTTTTATTCAACCATCGACTAGAGGTACAAAGGGAAGGGGGACCCCTATTCTACTGTTTGAAAGATATGGAGGTACAAAATGTTAATTGCTTGATTTCCCAAAGCAAAAAAAATTATATCCTTTTTCAACAAAATCAACTATTAAAAAAGAAAACCCACTAGGCTTCGCATGACCAGACCATGTTGACAGGCAGTGGCTGGCCCAGCTAAAATTGGGCACGCCGAGACAAGGGTGGCCCCCGCCATTCTACATGAAACCGGTCGACAAGGCCGGTTTACACCTCTAGATGTAAGTGTCAAGTCATACAAATATATAAAAATTATTTACTCCATGCAACATAGGCCAAGAAACACATGCATATGATTGTTTTCTTCACTATTAAGGTAAAAAATACAGTTTGTCTGAACACCAATTTTGTTGCAGAAACTTTATAACTTGGGGGCAAGAAGGGTACTTGTGACTGGTACCGGACCAATGGGTTGCGTTCCAGCAGAACTGGCCCAGCGGAGCAGAAATGGCCAATGTGATCCTGAACTCCAACGAGCTGCAGGCCTTTTCAATCCACAGCTTGCTCGTATGCTACAAAACCTCAACAGAAAAATAGGCAGGAATGTCTTCATTGGTGCAAACACACAACTAATGCACAATGATTTCATCAGTAATCCTGGAGCATATGGTAAACAGATAATTATTGTTCACCAATTTCATTTTCTGAGGGAAAGTGTACACTTTATTGACTTAATTTTCCATGGTTTGGCAGGATTTGTTACCTCAAAGGTAGCATGTTGTGGTCAAGGTCCATACAACGGGCTCGGGCTCTGCACAGGGTTGTCCAACTTATGCCCGAACAGAGACCAGTATGCATTCTGGGATGCATTCCACCCATCTGAAAAGGCTAATAGACTGATTGGTAAACAAATCCTGACCGGTACAACAGAATACATGACCCCGATGAATCTAAGCACCATTTTGGCCTTGGATTCTGAGGCATAATCATCTACCTCAATGTTCATCCGTGTCACTGTTTCATTTTTAAAAAAATTTCAGATGCCAATAAGTCTAGCTGTTTGTACACCTGCAACCTTTTCTCGAAGTGTCAAAAGGAATTTCATAGCAATGTCCTTGCTAAGAAATACCAAAAAGTGTGATTTAGTTCTCCATTGCTAGGAAATACCTAAAAGGTAAAAGTGTGTCTATTTCAAGTGAATAAAAGTCACTGTATGTTGTCAGCACCATTTATTTGAGGATGAACATCCTACATTTCATAATGCAGCTTCATATTTTTCAAAAAAAATTAAAATTCAAAATGACCATCATGATATGATATGTCTTAATATTCCAAACAAATTTTTTGTTCTCTTGGGCAACAATAACAAAGCCAAGACCAAAACAAAGTATACGAATTATTACAGCCACAACAACGGCAATAATACTGAAAAATGATCGTGATGAACAATTATTATTTTAATTTTGATTTATCAAGATAGGAAATAGAGGTCATATCATGGAGGAGAAAAAACAAGCAGCATATAGTGAAAACGAAACTGTAAGCGATATATAATTACATTTTCTTCTTATGATGCTGACAACTAAAGTTGTATTACTCGCTGAAATTTCACCTTAATTTAAGGAAATAAGCAACTCCCTTAGCAACCTTCAAAAGCAAAATTTCTCTGAGGCGTGCCTTTTTCGAAATTATTATCCTCGGCGGCAAGGCCGAAGAAACAGAAATCTCCGAGAGGATTTACTCGATGGTGGCGTTTTCTGGCGAAAATTTCTAAAATTTGGGGATTAGTACATTGAAATTATTTGATGAAGGTTTTACAACAATTGAGAAAGAGGTGAATGATTTGTTGAAATTACAGTGGGCATCTTCTACATGTTTGTTGGTAGGTCTGATGAGTCCAAAATGGAATTAACTAAAAAAATTTTATATTTCACAAATCACGTTTTCGGTAAAATTTGATAAATAATATTAACTAATATATGTTAAAATGAAATATTATTTGGGGTCGGATTCTATGGAAGTTGCAATTTCAATTAAATATATGTTGAATAAAACGCTGTCTTCTGCCGTAATTAAGACCTAAGTCTTTATTCACACATGACCTATAAGTTTGTGTGCGACTGTTACATATTACGATGATTGATTGTCATTTAAACTATTATTTGCATGTGACCTATAAGTTTGTGGGATTGTGACCTAATATACTGTTCTTTTGTGACTAGCATTTATCTATATGTAACGTATAAGTTCGTGTGACTGACATCAATTCTTGTAACTGTGACTATCTATAATTAATGTACTATGTACAATTGAAGAATACGAACATTTGAATCTGAGTAGAAAGATTGAGTCTAAATGAGGCATCTCATCAACTTTACAAGCTTGACAAGAATGTCTAGACCGCTAAAATCGTGAGAAAGGAGCAGAAGTGTTTTAAATGGACAATTCTCATCAATATTTTCCAATGTTCTAAAATATGTAATGCGTTGCGATGCGTCGAGGTCGAGAATCAAGAATCACAAGTTTAAACGTGTCAATGCGGAGAATAGGCGTC